CAGAAGAAGCGTCCAACGTGTTTTTACGCTTTCTCCGAGACATGTCACATCACTAAGTTGTTAGCGCCGCGCGCTAAGGAAACCCTGCGTTCCTCTTCGGAACGAAAACCTCGTTGTCGCTCAGCCGCGGCCGAAGCCATGTTTGTTCACACACAAGTGAAAACAAGCGGGGCACTAATATATTACTATGACTCACTCTGATTGGTTAAGGGTCAAACAAAGGCATGTCATTCGCCTGAGGTAAGTTCCATTTTCATTTAGAGACAGAAATTCAACAGCAGAGCTGTGAATCGTGATAAAACGGTCTCTCAAAAATGACAGACCGTCAGATGTGTAGTTCGTAAAACGGTCTAAAATCGTCATATCGCCCAGCCCTAGTCCTTGGGCAAGGCACTTAACCCACCTTGCCTGTTGGTGGTGGTCAGATGGACTGGTGGCACCAGTACTTTGAAAGCCTATGGGCCATTCCCATCTGTACCGGTTCGGCCCGGGCCGGGTAGCCCCAGTCGGCCCCAGCCTGGCCCGGTTGATTCCACACATCCTTGTCTTAAGCCCATGTGGGCTGATTCTACCCACCAATCAGAGGCTTGCTCTAATGGAAGGTGTGAATTTGCTGTCAGCAGTGGGTGTGTTGGCTCTGGTCGGCCTGAAGCAGACCCCCTCGAGAAGAGGGCTGAGAATGAGCCTTGGTTGGCCCGGAAAAATACCAGGCCACCCAGATATGTAAACAACCTACGCCACCCGGCCCGGGCCGACCCGGTACAGATGGGAATGGCCCACTAGACTTGTCAGTGTGCCCTACAGCAGCTGTGGCACTCATCACCACCTGTGTGTGTGTGTGTGTGTGTGTGTGTGTGTGTGTGTGTGTGTGTGTGTGTGTGTGTGTGTGAATAGATGAGGATACACTGTGGTGTAAAGCACTTTGGAGTCTTCTGACTGTGAAAGGCGCTATACAAGTGAGAGTCATTTATCACATACAGCTGTAATGTCCGGTAATGGTCATTTTTTAAGTACAGTTTGACCCTTCAATATCTGGTCGACATGGAGACACAAGTCTGCATGTGTTCCCTTTAATCTGCTGGATTCTGCATCCCATCAACTGTGCTCGGAGCCTCTCTGCAGCTCTGAACACATGATAACTTATTGTCAACAATCACGCTCCCTCCTCAAGGCCCCAAGCTTCCCTTATCGTCCTACAGGAATCTTCATGCCTCTGAATAAAGTGAACACTCTCAGCTCGGATTAGTTGCTTAATCAAAGAATGAACTCTTAAATATAATGTGAACATTTAAAACTTATAGGTTAATTAGTCATTAAAGAATAATTTGGTTGATGAACGAAATGTTTTGATTAATTTGTGAAATGAATTTATATATGGATCAGTAATATTTTGATATGACAAGGCCATCACCATCCACACTCACACAAGGACAAGGTAAAGTTGAGTCAAATGCGTGACACAGATATTTTCTTACCCACAAATCAGAACCTCGGTATCTGAAAGAAGTGTGTGTTTCTGAGATTCTTGGTAAAATCCCTTAACATGGCACGTTCTGATTTGTTAAGAAATTAACATGAGAATATTAAAACAGAATCACTCTGGTGATTCAGCAGTCTGTGTTCCAGTCGGAGTGTGTTCCAGTTCTACAGAGTTCTAGAGGAAGCTACGGAAACGGCCGTCCGTAGTGAAGTCTCTTTAACTACGAAGCAGCCTCTGACACACCGTCAAGGTTGTTGCAAAGCTGACACAGCAAACGGTTCCTGCAGAACAAAGCTGATTTTGTTCAGACTCCATAAGAGTCTATCGAGACGCAAACTCTTCCATCCAACCTGTGTGCCTGGCGACATCTCTGGACTGGAGAAGTCGGCACTGTGGTCACTCTACTGGACCTGGGTGCCCAGAGGCCATCCGACCTCGATGACCTCCAGATCCGCGAAGATGGTCTCCGAGAAGGGTGAGGTAGAAGACCGTGTGATTGCGTCTGATGCTTTTTTGATAAGAATCAACTTCTTAGCTTAACGCAAACCAAATTCTTTTCCTTTACACCCAGAACTCAGCTTTCCTAGAGACGGAAGTTCTGATAACATCATATTCACACATAGACACACTCCATCTAGATTCCTCCATCACAGTAAATATTAGTTAACTTGTCATGTTAATTGTTTGGGAAATAAATTCTTACTTTTACAAACCTGACTCTTTCTTGAATCAAAACGAAGTGTTTACAATCCCTGAATAAACAAATAATCCTAGAATCTTCTGATTAGACACACAAAGACCAAGCAGGTTGATATTCTATATTTAGATAGAATATCACAGCTTACTGGTCATAAGTAGAGGTAATATATTAAGCTCTTAAAGCACTCAATTTACCAATCCTACACAGCTAAAATTTGAAAAATTAGATCATGGTGCAAAAGTTCATTTATTTCCATAATTCAAAGTGAAACTAACATATGAGAAACTCATTCCATGCAAAGCCACACATTTCACGCCTTTGTTATATTTGTGATGATTATGGCTTACAGTTTATAAAACCCCACATTCAAAATCTCAATTAGAATATTGTGAAAAGGTTCAATATTCTAGTGTCACACTCTAATTCGCTAA